GTAGACTTATATGAGTAACATGAGATTTCATCTTAAGAGTTATCCCAACCAAACCATCTCATCAATACAACAGTTCATATATTATCAAATTACTACTATATCAAATGTAACGTAGAGGGAGTACTCCGTCAGTCAAAATCCTTTCACAATTTGATATATTTGATTGTTTTAACTGATTGCAATTCTTCACAATAGAATTAAAGAGAAAGTGGTGGAAAATGAAGATGACAAATTATGTTCTAGACATTTTTTTTTAAAAAAAATAAAAATTGAATTTCTAAGTTAGGAAAAATAAATTTGTTTTATGTGATTTTTAAGGTGACATGGTACCTGTTAGTTTTGAGGGGTAAAGATGAGTCAATGCACAAATGGTAACAGTATTTTTGATCCCAAAATCAAACGGAGGGTATATCTGATTCATTTCCAATTATTGAAGAGTATTACTGTAACCTTTTCCTTAAATATATTATACGGGTAAGGCCTAAAATAGCCCTCAAGTATTTAAATTGGTATAAAATTACCCTGCATCTACCTTTCATCCTTAAAATATCCCTGGTGTCCACCTTTTGGCTCAAGTAGCCTCGATGTTAATAATTTGGCTCATATTTGACCTTATTTTTACTAGCTCCCTTAAAGTAAAATTATTAAATCTTTATTTATTATGTTACTTAATGTGATTAGTCCAAATTCTAACCTTCTCAAATAAACAATAAAAATCATATTTATTATTATATAAACCAAACATGATTCATATTTTAACTCAATACACTTAAAAATACTATTGAAAAAAAAATTACTTTCATGATATTTTCCTATTGACCTACTTCAAATCAACCACAAATTATTATAACATAACCTAATTCATAAATGGGATGAACCATAACATATTCCAAAGTACTCATCCTTTTTTTCCTAGAGTCAACCCTAGGTACCAAATTTCCGGTGGATGGCCAATAAGATCACCCACCTGTCTGGTGCTTGGACAACACTCCTTATTGGTTCTTCTTTTCCCATTCTTTAACACCCAAGAACCTAAAAGCCTAGTTGTTGTCCTAGCTCTGGGCAAGGAAACGTGCCTAAAAGTTTGCCTAGATATAACATGGATATGATGCCTAAAACTGAAGAGAAATATTGTCTCGATCGGGGAGCACCCTCTAGACGCAACCGGTGTCGTCGTCCTCGAAGAGGACTAGGACTATCCTCTTAGCATTCATCATTACATTTAATAGGTAAAAAGTGCAAAAAAATTGAAACTTTATACATATTGAGGTAAAGATAGACCTCGCACATAGTAAGCATACATAAATATGGTGTGTACTTAGACTCCTCACATAGGAAGCTAGCATAGGCTTCTCGCATAGTTAACATAATCAACATATAAGGAGTTATTATAATAATATCGTCTCACATTAAATCTTCTAAATGAAGTACAATTTTGGGCATAGCCCTTACACAAATATATTGCCACTTATGGCTTAAAACAATTGTATTGAAGAATAAAGAAGCAACGAATGTCTTTTAGACTATATCAATTCTACTACGGTAGATGAAAGGCAGCATCCACGAACTTGGAGGAATCACCACTACTTGGAGGAAGAAGTCCAAGTATCCTTGCGATGTGGCCTAGAAGATATTCAAGGCCCTGAACTTACAACATTGGGGGAAAAGGGAAGAAATATGGGTTAGGACAAAACACATGTACTAAGTATAGTTCCCATGCATAAAATCATCAATGCATGAGAAAACACACAATTTAGTCAAAATCATGCTTTTATGTTTAATAACTAAACATGTACACATGTAAAACATTCTAAGTCTACCCAAAATGAAATTAACCCAACACATAAGCAACACAAAGGAATACATGTTCAATGCCAAGAATAGAACCCCATAACCCTATCCAAAGTTAAGCATAAGACTAATTCACTTATTACAGACATACAACATAATTTCATAACTTATCATAACATGTTTGTATCATAAATTAATATATACTTGATATACATAATATGAAATCAACTTACTCATACAATAACACTACCAAGACCATCCCTTAGGATCCCACATGTGCAATGAGTAAAAGAAGTCCCATACCCTCCCTCACCCTATGTAAGAACCTTTTAGACAAGCCCTAATAATAATTCACATTCTAGACTTATTCACTTACCATATTACATTAGGGAAGATACTGTAATAATTGACATGAGACCATGTGAGCTACATAGAATCCGTTGTTTACCTCCAACACCAAAAAGAGAGGGTTAGCACATTCTTAAGTTTTAACCAATCTTACATAGCTATATAGATGGATCCAATAAGCTATAGTCCTGTATGGGCACATAGTTAAGGGTAAACTAGAAACCTTTACTTACTAACGTGGAGGTTTCCATCTCATGAGACAACACATATCGTGGGAATCCAAACTTGCTAAACGCGAGACCTCCATCTCATTTACATGCCCTTTTGATTCTAAGAATTTATTCCCTTTTGTAATCATCATATTCATTATACAAGATCACATTAGTCACTTCTAGACCCTTATGTGAACATCTTGTCATGATAGCTCATAGGTATTCATAAGTGAGAACTACCCTTTCACTTTAGGAACCACATACAAGTGAGTAAATCTTTCACTCAACACTTTATTATAAGTATGAGAAAATACTTTCAATCACATAATAATCATACCATGACATACTATCATACTTCATAACAAATTTGATAGTCTAGGGTTAAGGAAAAGGAATATATGCTATCAACATCACAACCACACATTACATATAGAAGCATCACAATCTAAGTAACTCATACTTCATAATTGAATTCAAGAAGAATCAACATTCATACCTTCTTGATATTTCATTGCCACCATACATCAATTACCAAAATACATAGCCAATGCATAATTAAGGTAAATTCAAGAGTCAATTATATAACAAACATCAATGTAGTCAATCAACATATTCATCCTCTTCACAATTCACCTTATCAATTCAAGGTTTTCATGAAATTGGGGGAAGCCATGGATCCATGGGAATATTTACTTAAACAACATTAATTTACCATAATTCATCAAAATTGATTCCTAATTTCATTTTTTTCAAGAAGATCCGTGTGTAGAGAAAAACGCTAGATTGGGGAAGTTTGAAAATCTCTTTGAAAGGACCTCTTGGGGAAAGAAAACCCAAGAGTGAAGGACACCATACCTTAATCAAGACTTTAGCCTCCAATTATTTGTGTATTTGGTATGTTGTTGCCTTCTTGAAGTGATATTGAGCATGTTGATGTGTTTTGAAAGGAATTTTAGCATAAGTGACCCTTTGATGTCATGTTGAGCTCTTGTTGATGTTGAGAACCTCATGATGTTTTGAGTTCCTCATCAACATGCTCAATATAAATTCATTAAGGCAACAACATACCAAATAAATTCGACTTAAGAATGTGATGATGTAAGCTAAGAGGTTAGTCTTAGTCCTCAAAGAAGACGACAAAATCGGTTACGTCTAGAGGATAAACTCGGGTGTGACAAACTTGGTATCAGAGCAAGGTTGAATTATCTTAGCATCTATGTCTCTCTCAACCACGTATATGTAAGTTCGTGCTCATAATTGTGAAGCGCATCACACTTATGGACGGGAACCTACATGATGCCTAGGAAACTCTCATTTTCTTTGAAATCTTATATCATGTCATTAGAGTATAGTTATGGTGTGCTTTTTTGTCTAATCCTATTGTTGTGCTTATAGGAAGAATGAACACTCGAAGGAATGCGGCACGAAGACTTGAACAGGAAGTTGCCATGCGGGATCTCATCCCTGAGGTGATCAAGTTCCTCCACTTGAAGAAGATGCTAATATGGAACAAGCTTCGGTCAATCCTCCACCCTTGACGGATGGACATATAAGGGCTGCCCTCATCCAATTGGCTCAAGCCTCCACTATTCAAGATCATGTTATGACGGCCCAAGCAAACCGGGAGGTTGTACCTCGTCCTCATCAACAAGTCACTACTATTGCTTCCCGTCTAATGGACTTCACTCGAATGAACCCTCCTACATTCTACGGATCTAAGGTTAAGGAAGAACCCCAAGAATTCATCAATGAAGTCTATAAGATACTCTTGGCTATGGGGTTGTCCACAAGTGAGAAGGCCGAGTCGGCCACTTATCAACTCAAGGACGTGTCTCAAGCATGGTTTGTGCAAACGAGGCATAATAGGACATTGAGGGGTGGTCCATTCACTTGGAAATCTTTAAGAAGGCTTTTCTAGATTGATTCTTTCCTAGGGAGATGAGGGAGGCTAAAGTTAGAGTTCATCAACCTTCGCCAAGGAGGTATGATTGTTCATGAATACTCCTTGAAATTCACAAAGTTGTCAAAATATGCTCCTTCCACTACAAGAAAAACAGTCTCTAAGAAAGGGAATTCTAGTCCCTAAAAGTTCAAATCTGGTGTCAAATTCCCAACTGAGATCATAAAAACCTAGTCGCAACTCGTCTTAAAAACTACAATCGCTATTAGTAAGTAAGGACGAGTTCAAAAAGCTCGTCCCTAAATTTTTTGCGACGGTCCAAATCTCTAGTCGTGAGATCCTTTTAGGGACTAAATATCTTGTCTTAATTAGACCACTCATATCAATGGTATCATGTCGTCAATACTCTTTTGTGACTGTACGTGATGTAGTCCTACTAGCGTTTTAGAGACGAGTATGACCTAGTCCTAAAATACCATTAGAGACTATGAAAAATCTATTTGTAGAACATCTATAATGCCCATTAATAACTTGTCCTAGAGTATTTTTAAAGATAACCAACAATCTGGTCCTAAAATAACTTTAAAGACTAGCAACAACTTTGGTCCTAGATTGACCAGTGGAGATGATCAGTAATTGTGGTCTCTAACAAACCACCTTTGAACCAAGACCACTAATATCGCAAGAATCTATATTCATCAACATATACTAAAATATTACTAAGATATATGGGTACAAAAAAGATCATAGAGTGAAAGGGTAGGAAGATAGAGATAATAGTAAGATTAATTACAATAAATTGGTTAACCTCCTATGAAGTTAGTTTCGCTATATTCGTGTAACAAAAATACTTGGATAACATCCAAAGTTTTGCAAAATTTTAATAGAAAAATACTAATAACAAGTTAGTGAAACTGCTAAACTTGCATCTTCACTAAAGTATGAACAAAAGTCTTGCAGAAATAGCCTTTGTCAAGTGATATACAAAAACATCAACAGAAGCTCCAAGAAATAAAAAAACCTATTAGAAAACTTTGAGATACTTCAGCCAAGAATCCAAAATCTGTTTTGAAGAACCACAAAATAATATTAGGTAGATAATATAAACAAATTGAATAAATTAGTATAAGAGACGAGCTAGATTAACAACATCTTTGCAGAAACCGTTAAAACATGGTAGCTGGCAGTGAAGTTGTTGCTGCATAGTAGAAAATTTCAAAAAAAAAATTTATGTCATTATGAAGATATGTATAGTTGTTGTTAAATCATCTAGATGATAAACCTTCTTATTTTTATTGGAAGGCAATGCATCAGTCTCTCGACTCATCTCGTCTTGCCTTGTCACCTCACCTCGAGTTCTCATCTAACTGACTTTGTTTAAATAAATTTAGAGTTCAAATGTAACTTTAACTATTCTCTAAGCAGTACTAATTTTTGGTAAGTCAGTTAAATGGAGTGAAATTAGCATACCAGCTGACTTTCAGGGTCACAAATTCACACACCTTAGATTCAACAACCACCCCTATCGTCTTTACATGATCATAGTCCTCAAAGCACGAAACTAGTCCCAAAAGGTGAACATAGAATTCATAGGAAACACTCCAATACGAAAAAAATTATCAATTGATCATAAGCCTTCCATGTCTTCTCCCCTGCTAAAAAGCAGAACATCGTGTAATCGTAGGAAGACAGTTCTCAAATCATCCATGCCATCTTTAATAATGAATTCCACTTCTCATAAACACCTTTTGAATAAATTACCCAAAACACTTCATACTAGTACTAAGGATGTTACTGGAAAACAACATAGTGTTGGCCTCTATGCTAAGGCATTGAACATGAACTATACTATCACCACGAACCAAGATAATCCTTTTGGTTTAACATGGACAATACTATCACAAACAAAGACTATGATCGGAATTTTTAGCTTGTTGGAAAGCTTTTTGATTTCCGTCTATGTAAATCTGCTACTGCTTTCTTCTTCTTTGTTTTTAGCATGAGATATATTTCCTTTTCATACAGGTTAAGTATATCATTTATTCGATCTGAATGTCTATTCGAAACAACCTCTCTGCATTCTAATTTTGAGGTTAGAACCTTGTTGGACAGGATACAGTGACTAGAAGAAAACAATTGGACATTGTAGAGTGATTGTTGAAATGGTACAACATAGCCTTTCAAGTAGGGGTGGAGACTAAATCGGAATAGATGAGGAAACAATATCCTGTTCCAACTAAATTCAATCTAACATACTAAGAGAATAAAACTTAAATATAACAGAATCAAGCAAAAATATGAATCATTTGAACTGATTAAGGCAATGGATCAGTCTCTTACCTTACCTCGTCTTGTCTCGTAATCTCTCCTCAACTCATCTCCACCTATAACCAACATTTTTCTAAAGAAATTAACAGTCCAAATTTAACTTTAACTATTCTCTGAGCAGTACAAATTTAACTTTAACATGTGGGCAGAAAATGTTAAAACAGAGCAGCTGGCAGCAATGTTATAGGAAACAAGTTTGTTATTCCAAATTTCTGACAGCTGCCAGCAGATGTTACATGAAAATTTTCACATCTAAGGACCCATATATTCATATTTGATCACACACTGATTATGGTGTTACATTTCAACAAAATAAATTAAAAAGATGGGTGTATTGTTACTAACCTGGTTAGCTGAAAATGTAGTGGTCATTCAGTTGAGAAAGACGATGTTGTAGCTGCTACATGTGATTGATGAGCCTTGAAGACTTCTCTCATTTTCAATACTTCTTTCATCGCATCTTCTAATGTAGACAAACGATTGTTCAAGGTTTTGTTTTCCTCATTCAAGGATTTGTTCTCTTCATTCAAAGATGTGATATCTTCTCGAGTTGAACGTAGCGCAGATATTTTCTATTATAACATATAACAAATTTAAGTAATTAACATATTTAATTTACAGAATGCACATGTTTTTCAATTGCTTCATGTTCAACAAGCTTGTCATCTTTCTTACGAGTCTCAAAGAAAATAGTTGCCAAATCTGGTGGATTTCTATCTTTTCCGCCCTTTACATCAAAGTCAAATACGTCAAATAACACACCTCATAAATATTTCATTTAGAAAACTAATTTTATGATAATACCTTTTGATAAATAATCTCTCTAATAGGCTTGCTACCAATATGATGAAGCATCATCAACTTTGCTCGATTTGCTGCATTTCTAGTGCTTCTTGCCTGTATTTGTTCATAGTAAGCTTTAGCGATATGAGCTAGTTATAGCAAGATGTACTCATGAACTAAATACTGTAACACATACATATTATTTTCTAAAATTTTGATCCTAAAAAAATACAAGATTCATGACAAGTATTTGTACTCTTATCTTTTTGTTGACAACTTATGGTGTAATTATTTGACAAAGAACTGATTAAGATGCAAAATACACAAGTTTCAATTATAAAGTTGTCTCTACTACAACTACTAACAATCTTATGTGGATAAAAAAAATTCTTATAAGATCATGACGTTGTCTCTGTTTAGAGACCATGGGAAATCTGCACCTTGTTTATACAATTTTCCTATACTTAAGAATAATAAGTGAATTATTTACTTGCCATGTATTATCTAGTTGGTTCATCAAGAATACTAAGAGATTGTAGGATAGGAGGGAAATCAAACTGTAGAAAAGAGTAGAAAAGTAGACTATTAACTCAATAGGCATACCTGAAAAGTTTCAGAAGCAAACTGTTCCTTTACTAACCATTCCCATTCTTTTTGGTCTACTCCTCTTGGGACATTCCTAAGAGACTGTTGGATAGGCTTGTCCTTCACATATTTTACATGCAAGTGTCCTCTCCATTTGTTTCATAACTCATTCATCTATCCAAATATATGATCATTCGTATCAGCACTCTCAAATTTGTGCTACAAAAATTGCAACAACAGTTGAGTTATTATTTTCAAAACAAAAAAGGAATCATAAGTTGTACAACCTGCTATATGAACAAGTGTACATTACTTTTAAAACATCAATTAATGAAAGATATAAATCAGAATCATGTGTATAGTGGATTGAAAAGTTGTACAGCAGGTGATAAATGGACAAGAACATTGATGTAGCAGGTAACACTGCAAAATCAGAGCAAACTGTAAAATCGATTCAAAAGTTTTACATCAAGTGTATGTTTGTTACCTCAATGTATGCCCACATGTGATTCAACTTTTCTTGCTTTATATCATGTCACGATGATACCCCCAAGGGACAAATATTACGATCACGCACAATTTTTCCCAAATGCCTTGATAATAGATTGTTATTTGTTCCAACCATTCGATTATTGTAAAAGGTAAGTTTCAACTTTTCTCAAATTTCAAGTGAAGCAACTTGTTTTCACATGTTGCTTCCTTGAATTCTTCTTACCTTTGTAGGATTAGATGAACCTATACCAACATATTTTGATAAAAACTATAGCAATCAAACTCAATTTTGTGTATGTTTTTCATTTTTTGCATTTCTTGATTAGAAGACATGTTAGAGCCCAATTTTGTGCATTTAGGAGGAGTTTTCATATGCTGATTATCAAAATCAGCACTCTTGTAGAAGATTCAACCTCATATTCAGAAATTTCCAAAGAGGAGCTCAAAGATCTAGTTCTTTTCTCTAGCCCCTTTCCTATAGCACCTGGATTCAATTAACATCATATATATAAAAGTTTATCAAAAAAAGTGAAACAAAAGATATTTGTAAAAAAACATTAACATTTTTTTTAAAATGTTACTTGTTTCAACTTCTTGGTTGTATTTCTTAACTTGATCAATACCAGGAGATGAGGTACTAATTTGCATATTCTCTTTCTTAGGAGTCATGGGGTTCTTATGCATCATTCGTGTTCCTTGACTAGTGAACGTGGTAGAGTTTTTAAGTCCATGTCCTTGGCACTTCCATATACAACCTTAAAAAATAAATCATACAACCTATACATTAGCACAATATTTAGGAGACCAAGAAGCTAAAAATAATTATATATCAATGAATTCAGCCATTTTCATTGAAGATGATTAACACTCTGAATCTTCTCCTGCAAGACAAAATACAGGAAGTGGGAAAAAAAATTCTTCTCAACACAAATATAGATTTTTCTATGCCTTGAAGTTAAAACATACAAACTATCTTACTTGTTTCAATTTCTTTGATGTACTTCTTAACTAGATCGCTTGATTGAGGCAATAAACTCATAGACGACAAGCTTCCTTTCTCACCCCATTATTTAAGCCCTCGTCCCCGTCCCTTTCCAATAGCACTAGGCGCAACAAATGTATATCTGATATAACTCTTCATATCAGAATCAACCTCTGTTTCAGTCTACAGTGATTTCATCTTGAACCTGCAAAAACAACCAAAATATTAAAAGTTAAACCTCAAAATGTTTAATTATGTAGTAATAAAAGAAATTGGCTCATCATAAGTTGAATAATGAAATATTAATTTATGAAGATACTTCACCTCATTAGTTCTTTTTCTTTTCTTTTGGGAAGGACTTCTTAACTCTACAATTTCATCACCCATTTGTTCCACAATCTCAAAGGAATCATGAGGTTTAGTCTTTTTCACTACTTTCCAACCTTTGTTGGAATTATCATTAGCATAAAACACTTTAGATGCGTGATTCGCTAAAATAAATGGCTCATTTATTTTCAAAAACCTACTTGGATTAACACTCACAAAATCATACTCATCCTTTTATATACTTTTACTTCATCATACACATCAAACCAATTGCATCGAAATAAAACCACTCTTCTATCCATTATAAATTGCAACTCAATCATATCTGTTAAAACTCCATAATAATCAAGGTTCTCACTATCTTCATTATTCTCACCCAATACAACAACACCACAATTTTGAGTCCTTAACTTGTTATCATAATCTTCTACATGAAATCTATATCCATTAATTATATAACCATTAGAACACGTTGAATATTTGGTGGGACTGCGTTAAAGTGAGAGAAGATCTTTCATGATATGACGACTATCATATCGTGTGTGCAATTATGCGACCTATCAGCAAGATAACATTTAATATTTAGAATGAATATTACAATATTAAATATCAAATTTTGATATTTATGTATTACTCACCTGATCTTTAAACCATTCAATAAGCTGTCTGCTCCAATCAGCATCAGACAAGTGCTGAGCATTCTCGTGAGTTTGTGCAAACTCTCTACAAAATTAAAGTTAACCATAACTATCCTACTAAATAGTAACTAACCTAAAAGAAATAAAATAAGTGAAATGGTATAAAAATCTCCATACTTGAGATATGGTAAGACTTCATCACAGTTCTTCAATATGTATATATGTGCTTGTTCATGTTCATATGTTTTAAGCTCACATGGATCTTTAGCTCCTAGAGTTTTTCAAGGTTGACTAAAAATAGATAAACCACCATTCGATTGTTTTAAACCGACATCATAATTTCGTTCAGGACAATTGAATCTTGTGTCAACTCTATGCAAATACCTTGAAAATAAAGTCATACATTCATTTGCACTGAAGCCCTCTGCAATACAACCTTCTGGACATGCCAATGAGAAATTTCAAAAAGTATAACCATCGCTCCACAATATACATCCACCGATAATGTATTGGTCCAGCAATCTTAGCTTCAGTAGCTAAATTAATAGGTAAGTGTACCATGACATTAAAAATGAAGGAGGAAAGACCTTTTCCAACTTACAAAGTTTTATGGGTATTTGTGATTCAATTTCCTCAAAGTTTTAAATTCTCAACTCTTTTGATCCAAGCACACTAAAAAATATAGACAATTCAATAAGAGGTTCACAGACCTCTTTTGACAATATACCACGAAGTGAAAGAGGGAATAGATGTTGCAAGAGAACATGACAATCATGACTTTCCAATCCAGATATCTTGTGATCTTTCAAGTTCACACACTGAGAAATATTAGATGAAAAACCATCAGGGAACTTAAGATTCTTTAAGAAAAGGCATAATTTGTGCTTATATTCGGAAGACAATGTGTAGCATGCTTTTGGTATTTCAATTTTCACCCCCTTTTGGATAGGGTGTAATTCTGGCCTAATGTCCATATCTTGCAAGTCTAATCGAGTGCTAATTGTGTCCTTGGTCTTTCCTTTTACATTCATAATTGTCCCCATGATATGATCACATATGTTTTTTTCAATATGCATAACATCCAAATTATGTCACAACAAGAGACACTTCCAATATGGAAGTTCAAAAAAGATATTTTTCTTGTTCCAATTATCCATTCGACTTTCATGTGATATCTTCTTTCTTTTCTTATGATCCTTTGATAATTGTAACCCTTCCAGATCTTGCACTTGATTAAGAATCTCAACGCCGGAACACACTTTTGGTGGAGGCCTTTTCTCCACTGTACCATCAAATGATCTCTTATCACTTCGCCAATTATGATTTTGGGAAAGGTAATGCCGATGACCCATAAAACACTCCTTCTTACCCTTAGTTAATCGAGTTGAGGAAGCGTCTTTATTGCAATATGGACATGCTAATTTTCCTTTTGTACTCCATCCCGATAAATTTCCATATGCTGGAAAGTCATTAATGGTCCATAATAAAGAAGCATGCAACTGAAAATTTTTCTTACTTGATGTATCATATGTCTCAATACCAATTGCCCACAACTCCTTCAATTCCTCTATAAAAGGTTGGAGATATGCATCAATTGCATCTCCGGGACCATTTGGACACGGAATAAGCATTGACCAAAATAAAATTTTCTTGCTTCATACCCAACCAAGGTGCTAAATTATAAGGAATACGAACCACAGGCCAAATGCTATGTGAGGTTTTAGAATTTTGGAATGGTTGAAATCCATCACTAGAAATTCCAAGTAAAAAATTTCGAGTTTTAACCGCAAATGAAGGATGAAGTTCATCAAATGACTTCCATGTTATTGAATCAGCTGAGTGCCTCATTATGCTATCATCAACTCTTTTATCCTTATGCCATGTCAAACTTATCTAAGTTTTCAATTCAAATTCATCTGAGTTTTTCACATCAAGTGTAGGACAGAGCAAGATCAGAATAAAAAAATGGAGAATTGCAGCAGTTTCAGGTTGCAAAAAGAAACATTCCATAAAAACAAGGTAGGAATCCTAGCTTGATTGATGAAACTACTAAGACAAATCTGCAGGACAATCAACAACAGGTTCTCAATAGTCCTACTTCAACCTATATTTCCACAACAACAAAATCAGTCTTTCACATCTGTATTTTTATTCTTGGAGTTTCTAGTAGTTATTTGTAACCAATAAGACGAGTTGTCATATTACAAGTCATTACTCGAAGATTAACTCACCTGCAATATTGTCCCAAGCAAAGCGGTGTGGGATTCTATTTTGAACAGCACAACAACAACTTGATTAGAAGAAAGAACACACCTGGAATTTTTTCTCGAGCAAAGCTTTGCTGGATTCTATTTCTACCAGATCGAGCAGCAACAACGTGAGGAAGAAGAATAGAACTTTATCAATAGATTAGAATCTATTGATTTGATGTACGCATCATAGATTAGAATCAAGCCAAACTTTTAAGATATTAGGCTATACAAACAAAGACTAAACAGTGAACATCCACTAAAGCTCTATAACTAACAATAATAGTAGCTACATACCATGCTGGATTAGGTCTCCCGGACTTTGGATCCTCTCCACAATACTTTTCTGAGTTTACTTCATACTTATAAGTCAGCGGAAAGTTTAAAGTACCTTCGGACCACCCATCAAATGCACAACCTTTCTTGAACTCTTTGCTGAGCTGCAAAAATGGAAAAACATATGTTATCATCACGGTATAAAATTTCTTCTACTCTCAATTTCACATCAATTCAACACGTTAAAAATTCCATCTACTCTGGGCTCAAAGTTATGTTTTCATGGACATTACTACATCAAAGGTGTCTGAAAACAATCGTAAACACTAATAACTAATTAAATTAGCCATAACATGCTATAATACATGCCTTGTTCTTTGTTTACTTTTTATCATTCACAGTAGTCCATCAAATTGCAAATCCTAAGTCACTGGTTGCGGGAATTGAAGTAGATGTCTGTTGCACACCATCTTTCTTTCCAGATGCACAAGCAGAAATGAGATAATGTACTTTTTGGGGTGGAAATAGGACACTGGAAGATCATATTTAGTTCTTATGGAAGGTAGTAAACATAACAAAATGAACAGTTTCTGCATAAATCATGATGTCATCTACGCAAAAGACATCAACAGTTTGCGACTTCTCAAACTGAGCCACTAAATGAAGTATAAAAGAGTGAGATTGCAAGCGTTGGTGCAGCATATAAGTCAACCAGGAACATTAATTGATCAGAAATTCAATTGCAATCAGTGAGTTAGTAAGCAATTAGTGTTTAAGAGAATGGAGACAAAAGCAACACAAAGAAGAATACATATCTATCCAAAACACAACAAAAACTCTATCAGAAGAGTGAACACACCTGAATATTTTCTCAACTAAAGCTTCAATGCTCCATTTCTAACAGATCGAGCAGCAACAACGTGAGGAATAAAAAGACACCTTTATCAATATCTCCTTGAGATTAGGGAAGACAACAACAACACAAAGAAGAATAAACATCTATCCATTCAAGGGGTAGAGAATCGTTGAGATTAGCTAGGGAAGCAGGGACGTTTCATTTTCCATTAGGTGTACGTAGTTGTGAGCTGAAGAGATTAGGGAAACTTTAGGACAAGCTTCTATATTTTTTATAATAAGTTTTTTCTTTTTCCTTTTAGGATTAATTTTTTAGCGCCTAAAATTTTTTTAAAAGAAATTTTTTCAAATTGGTGGAATTACTTTCCTGCTCAAGCCTCACAATATGTATCCAATTACATTTAGGGACTAGTAAGTAAGTCTTTTAGGTACCAAATTTAATGTCTTCACAATAACATATACCAGTAAAGACCGAAATATAATCTCATCCCAATAGGTATACTTTTAGAGACAATAATATAGACTCATCCTTAAATATTGGTCTTGATAAAGTCTTTTTCTTGTAGTGTTCTTTGGTTTTTGATCTTAGAGATGAAATGGGTCGTTTGTGACAGGGGTGTTAGATGATTTGCAAGAGGAGCATCATTCAGCTATGCTACATGACAACATGAAAATTTCTCGTCTTATAGTTCATGCCAAGCGTGTTAAAGAGGCAAGGGCCAAGAGGAAGATTAGGGATGCTAAGAGAGCAAGGTCTTTTAATGGAGGTTCTTCAAAGAATAGGCTTGACATACATGACAAGACTAGGTTTAAGAAGTAGGTTTCAAGTCAAGTTCCTTCCAAATTCCTGAAGGCTAGTGGTGATAGGGTGTCTAACCCTAAGTTTAAGAGGGGAAAAGGTACTAATTCACCACCCGATAAGCCAACTTGTAGAAAGTGTGGCAAGAAGCACTGTAGTGATTGCCTTAAGAGGAGGGATAATTGTTTTGTTTGTGGTAAAAGCAGGCACAAGGTTAGGGATTGCCCTAATATGAGGGGCCGAGACAAGGATAGTGGTAAAGCTGAAGCAAGTGGTTCAAATGAGGCTCTAAAAAAGAATCGCTTCTGTAACAATCCTAAAAAGGAATAAGTTAAGAAATGCTTAATGTGTCAAGAATGTCAGCGATTAGACCAAGGTTCACACGGATTGATACGCGTAGAACCAGACCTCAGAACCCTTACTACGGTCAAGCCAACTAACTTGGGGAGTTAGTTGAGCTTGGAAAGGTTGGAACCAACCATACAGGGCTCTCAAAAAGGAATATTTAATCGAAAAAGTCTTTACCGGACTTAAAAGGAGGAAATCTAAAGTTTTGAGGGTCTAGGGGTAAAATGGTCTTGTACCAAGCTAAGGATAATATTGTAATTACCCCTAAATATATAATTATTTATTTATTTAATAAGATGGAGGGGCAATTTTGGGAGAGAGAGAGACGAAATTGAGCTGTTGAAGTGAAGTCTTGCTCCACCCGGGTTCGAACGTAGGTGGAAGCAATGAGTTAAATTGTTTTTATTTAAATTGATAAATTAATTTAATTAATTAATATTTATTAGATGGTTTAAGAAAAAAGTAAAATCAGATTTTTATTAGTAATTAATTAAGTATTAAGGAGAGTCCTAAATTGACTAAGTCATTATCTAAGACTAAATAACTTGACACGTTTCACTCTCTCACGATCTCTCTTTCACGTTTCACCATCTCTTCCACGTTGATCTCTGCCTAAACAACTACAAGAACATAAATTATATCAAGAGTTCTTCACACTTGAAGAACTCACATTAAATTTTAAGAAAAACAAAGTAACCAATAACGTTAAGGCAAAGAGAAGTTGTCCGTCGAGTGGTGTGGACGTTGAGGAAGCTTGGACTGATTTTGGAGAGGGTTTTGGGCAGCAAGTTCAACGTTTGAACATCAACTAAGGTATGAGTTTATTTTCTCTTTGTCTCTTTCCCAAGAACCCCCTTAAGATTCAAGATATTTATTCCAAAAACTAGGGTTGTTCCCCGTTGTATGTCCCTGTCACTAGCTCCCATTGAATCATAGGTTGGGTATGTTTGCTAGCACAAAGTAGGGATGAAATGTGTTTTCGTGATGTTTATTTTTAAGTATGAATGTTCAAAATTCTGTGAACATTGATTATGTTGTTCGAAATCAAAAGTGATGTGTGTGTTCAACATGTGGCATTGAGGTTAGTCACTGTTAGAGATGTGTAATGGCATGTTAATCCTTGTATTTTATGTGCTAAAGATGTACAAAACGTGATGTTCATATGGGGTGTGAGGTTACTGATTTTGAGTGACAACGCTTGATTAATGTAACTACTAAACTACACTTAACAATACACAAAATGTTTTGTGAAATTCCCCATGGAATGATGAAAGGAAGCTAAAGTTGGGATTAAATTTCTAGCTTGGTGTACTCTCGTTTAGAAAATATGGTTCGGGGGACTATATGTGGAGCAATTCGGCATAAATTGATACCGATACCTCAGAATTTGGTAACCTCACCTCCATTAACAACTACTTATGAATCCTTTTTCGGTTTACACCCATTATCTCAAGTTTTGGATCCTTGGTGTACTCTAATTTCAGTAAAAAATAAGGCTAAGAAACTGGGTTTTTAAAATGAAAATAAAATAGGTGAAGTCACTTGGATTGAACCCGAGACCTCACATGTGAAGGATACTAAAAACGTAAAGGGGGAAAATGGGGTTAAAGGGAATTGAACCCGTGTGCCTACTGTGATTCGCGAAAAAGAAATGAAAATGGGACTGGGGGAAATCAAAGTTGGCTATTGGTTGGATAAGGAGAGAACAAATAATTGAAATAAATAAATGGGAGGCGTGGGAATCGAACCCACGACCTACAGACAACTAGTGAAAGAAGAGAAAACAAAGAAAGGAAAATATGAGGCGTGGGAATCAAACCCACGACCTCAAGGCTTGAAAGGAGAAGACAAATTAAATAAGAAAAATGATGTGAGGCCGTGGCGGATCGATCCCACAACCTCACTGCAAAACTCCTAGCCTAGGGAGTTTTAATTAAAAATTTAAATAAGGAGGTTGTGGGGGTTTGAACCCACAACCTCCCAATGCCCAGCGAAAATAATAATAATAATAATAAAGAATAAAATGAAAGAGGTTGTGGGGGTTTGAACCCACAACCTCTTGGTTTGGGCGAAAAGGTGAAATGAGATGTTGATGAAAAATAAAAAAGGGTAGTGGGGGTTCGAACACACAACCCTTCGGCCAAATTAAGAGGAAAACCAAGTATAAAATTAAAGATATAATATTAAAGTTGGGGTTCAATCTAGAGTCCCAATGTCATGGAGATTAAAAATAAAATCAATGAAAAATGGAAATCCTATCCAAGTGATTCGAACTTGAGTTTTCATGCCCAAACTTCTGTATTGATACATAAGTCATACGTAACTAGTTCAATGTGTAGGTAGAGTCCCATACCCCTACCTGAACTAAGTCAAACTCCTCAAGTCATCCTACTTAGAGTCCACTTTATTACTTCATTTTACTTTTGGGAACATCTTACCTTAACCGATATACACCAAATGAGCCAAAGTGGAATTCGGTTTCATGGAACCCTACACCAAAGGAAGGTTGACTACTTTCCAAGGTTATACCAAAATATGAACATAGCATCTACGAGGATCCATTAGGTAGTATTCCTATGGGGGCAACATAGTTCAAGAACTAGGATATATAGTTTGAACTCTCTTTATTCTACATGCATTATAGTCTCCAATCTCATGAGTATATTAGTGATCCTACCTTCAATATGTGGGATGGGACATTCCTCACTCTAGTTCACTCAGTGCTAAGCTACATCCCTTTTTAAATATATTTCATTAATATCTAACGTAGTTTAGGTCATAGGGTCTACCCCACCCCTTATATAGTCATAGTCGTAGACCAATTGGAATTTCATGAAAAAACCTTTCATTACAACCCTCATATTTGAGATTACCACATTAACATCATTATATCATAGTAAGGCACATACGTACTTCATCACTAACCTTATATTAATACATCTTAAGCATAATCTCACAACCACACAATTCAAGAAATTTTGATTCAACATCATACCAACCTAATCAATCTTATCATAAGGTATACTTCAATATAACTTTATTACTAAACAAAAGTAAGCATAATTGAAGTAAAGGTTTGAGATCACAAGACTTACCGCAATTTCTTTCACATACCATCATTAAGGTCTTAACATCAACCATTCAATTTAACCAATAAATGGGTGTAATATCATCACACAATGTAATTAACATAATAATGAAGTCAATTGAATCACTACACAAAAATTCATCACTAGTTCATAGCTTAAGGTTAGAGACTTGGGTAAAATTCATGATCTACTTCACAGCCTTGGTTAATGAATAAAGAACTAGAAAAATTGTATTACAATACATCATAATATACTCATAATTATATAAATATATCATAAACAAAGTAAATTTAAATATTAATTATCGTAATAGGAGAAAACACATCTAAAACTCTTTGTTTTGAAATCAATTTGTAGGAACCCTTTGGTAAAAGAGATTGCAAAGGTTAAAGGAATCCTATAAATTAATAATTGATGAAGTTTGATGGAGAAAACTTGATCCTTTGGAGACCTAGAACCCTCTTTTTCTTGTTATTGTATGGAGTTTCTATGGGAGAGAGAAAGAAGAGAGAAAGAAGAGCAATTGGGTTTCAGGAAATATGGGCGTTAGGCCTAGTTTAATTAGGCTAAGTCTTTATATATAGGTCCTCAATTAACCTAATTGAACCTACATTAACCATTAATTACCTAAATAACCATTGAACTAATTAAATAAATTAATCAAAACAGAACAACTAAACACAAACCTGACCGACGAGACCCCGACTGATGTGCCCAAGGTCAGTTGACGGGCAGTGTGACCTCAATCCTGCAGATCCGTGGTTTTGGTAAGAGACTTTGCCAAATGACCCTATCATGAATTTTACTAAGTCTCATTAATGGAAGCATCGATGCCCAGTGAATGTACCAACGCCACGTTGCTTGTAGTCTGTTGATGGACACCGCCTCATGGCAACTTTTTTCCAAATTGCGAGTATCCTCCTCAATGGCCCTTGGTTGGTCCTTGGGAAGTCATACCCAAACGTTTTGACTATAAACTAACTCTACGTGTTAGACACTTCAACACAATTTT